TTATATATATATATATATATTTATTTTAATTTCAGGTGACTATCATACGCTCAGGTTTAGAGATATTGAATAATAATCTGTTTGAAGGCACAAACGTAGCATCCTTGCATTTAATGCAGAATAACATCATTTATATTTCTCCTTGGACATTCAGTGGTTTGGAAAATATTCTGACTACTCTAGATTTAAGTCAGAATCAGATAAATGAATTTCCACTTCAGCCTCTCAGTTCACTGAACAATCTCCAGTGGTTAAATTTGAAAGGAAACCATATAGACGATATCCATAACTTTAAGTGGACACAACTAAACTGCAAAAATGTTCTCAGCAGCTTGTTCATGGGTTCAAACTCCATTACAACAATTCCCGAGGGTGCCTTTTTGAGTCTCATCAACCTTCGTTTATTGGATCTTGAGGGTAATTTTGTTCATGATGTTGGAACGAACTCTTTCCCCTCCTATTTAAGATCTCTGTCCCTTTCCAACAATATACTGAAGAAAGTGCCTCTTCATGCTATATATTATCTAAAGCACTTGCGCTTTTTGTATCTATCTGGTAACCTTATCCATAAACTCCCTTGCCCTTTCCATTTGAGTGTCCATAGTTTGGAGAAGATGGAACTGAGCAATAACTTGCTGACGCACCTTCCAGAATGTGTGTTCAATGGTTCTTTCACCATTAAAGAGCTGCACGTGGATTTCAATTTCATACGGACACTCTCTGCTCGGAGCTTTAAAGGGACGAAACTGGAAAGACTGGTTTTGGCAAACAACCGCATAATAAACATACATTCTGACGCTTTCGTTGGAATTGAAACGACACTAAAAACGCTGGATTTAAGCTTCAACTTGCTAGATCTGTTTCCATCTGCAATCAATGACTTGAAATCATTGATTTATTTATCACTCAAAAGCAATCTACTGCGGCAATTAGGAAGAGGAGATCTGCATGGCTGTAGAGGTACGTTGGAGATATTAGATTTATCGGGAAACATGCTGCACCATGTTCCGAAGAAGACTTTAAAATCCTTGTCAAAACTGGTCCGCCTCAGTCTCCAGGACAACCGGATACATAAAATATACAGAGATGACTTTGAAGGCTGGGGTCAAAGCTTAACCATGCTAAGCTTAGCCAATAATAAAATGACATATTTATCAGGAGGTTCATTTATTTATTTAACAAAACTTAAAGAACTGAAACTTTCATTTAATAACCTTATGTACGTTGATCAATTAGTGTTTTTACCGCTCAAGAAAACTCTAGAAGTTTTAGACTTAACTTCAGCATTCTCTGAGTACAATTACCCAGTGGAAACTTTCATAAAAGACTTACATAATTTGGAATGGCTTCAGTTGGACCACAATAACATATCGCTACTCTCATCAGCCAGTGTCGGTGAGCTGAAAAAGTTACGTCATTTAGACGTTAGTGACAATGATTTAGCAGATATTTCTAGTGAGTTATTTAAGATGGCCTCTCATACGTACTTAAGTACCGTCCATTTAAGTCACAATGAACTGAAAACTTTAAAAAGTGGTACATTTGAATCAATTTCACATTTGTCTACAGTGGTGTTGTACGATAATAAGATAACTTCGATTGAAAACTTTTCTTTTTCAAATTGCCCCTACCTACATACAATTGTTTTGTCTGAAAATGAAATATCTTCAATTGAACCATCAGCATTCAATAATTTGACAAAACTATCCAATATCTATCTGCAAAATAACTATTTGGATTTTTTCTCATTCAATGCGATTGATGGAGAAACTGGATTGATATATTTAAATCTGTCCAATAATCAACTCAAAGAGCTAGATCATGCCAATAATTCTGCATTCCCACTAAAGCTCCGAACTCTAGATCTCACGAATAATCAGTTATCTGTGATACCGGATTCCTTGTTTTTAAGTAGCAGTGAATATTTGCTTCATTTGCTAGCCTCCAAAAATAATATTTCAGATCTTCCAAAGACTCTCCTACCGCACTTGCAAATCCTACGCTTATCTTGTAACTCTTATAATTATCTGGACAGGTCAAGCTTTGACTGTTGCAGATATACACAAATTTTAACAATAGATCATAACAACATATCCGATGTGAACAACCTGACTTTCAGAGGCATGGATAAATTGCGAGTTTTGGATATAAGTTACAACAACATCGGTGTGATTGAGGAGGGAACGTTCGATGACACCAAACTTGAGAGGATAAACCTGTCCAGAAATAGTCTTACCGAATCTCCCATAAAAGCATTAACATCGTTAAGACTGACTTTAAGAGACCTGGATATATCGCAAAATGCAATACGAAACATATGTGCGGATAGTTTTTCGGGTTTAAGCAGACTGCAGACTTTGAATTTGTCTTCCAACATTATATCCTTCCTTCATGAACAGAGCTTCCACGGTCTGAGCAGCTTGATTGAACTAGACGTGTCCCACAATCCACTGCAAAAAATACTCCACGAAAATCCTTTGATATCATTGGTTTTATTGCGATCACTCCATTTGCAGAACGCTAGTTTAATATCTGTGTCTACATTGCCGCTTCCGCATCTTCATCTGTTGAATTTGAAGGATAATTTCCTGTACAACATGTCTCAACATGTTTTTGAGAAGTGTCGGAATTTAAGGAACTTGGATATATCTGGTAACTTACTGCAGAGTGTTCCCATGCATCTTTGGAATAAGATGCGCAAGCTCTTCGTATTAGACATATCTCGAAATCCCATAGAAGTGCTGGGGATAAGTAGTTTCTCTGGATTGGTTAAACTCAAATACTTGGATATAAGTGGCCTTCTGCTGAAGAGATTGGATTCTCGGACACTTTATGAATTAAGGTAACTATATTTACGTAATTCATTTCAAAATGTCTATAAACAGTATCTTATGAATTAGAACCAATATGTATACGAACTATAAATGTAAGAAAATTTTAAATTCTTTTAAGCAGCATTTTGTAAAATTTCTTTTGTATAAACTATTTAAGAACATTCTAATTGAAAATCTCTGAGGCAAAATTTAAAACTTAAATATTTGGATAGAAGTCACTTTTTGCTGAAAAGATTGGATTCTTGTAGACGGATTATATATGACTTTTTATATATAATATTATAACTTTATAAATTAGGGTAAATGTATTTGCATATTCCCCATTGGTCTATTTAGGAGAAGTTTGGGTAAGTTTATACACCATTCAAATTATTTTTCGATAAAAACAAGCACGCCAAGCAATCTTTTAAATACAGACGCTTTACTAAAAAGTGGAGACAAAGATATCATTATTTTAAAATTACAGCTTTTGTAAAGACAAAGTTTTTTTTCTTTTTTTCACAAAACTTGATATTTCCCTTAATTCTGAAAAATAGAATCCTGACATTAAGAACCCATCTTTATGTTATTTTTAGATTCAGAAAATTAAAATCTAAGAAAAAATCTAAAATACGTTTTTGTATAGAATTGCCACTCGAAAAACTAGTTTTGTTGTTGCGCGCAAAATTGTATTTTTTTTTTAAAAAGCTTTACGGATATATATTAAAATTCGAAGGAAAAATTCGACCCTAAGTGTTAATACCTATTGAGGTTAAAAAATTATTGCTTAACTAACTACAGTAGTGAGAGTATTAAATGAATCAAACTTGTGTTTTGAAAAGCAACAATAGGGATTTTTCAAAATATTTTATGTTCTCTCCTTTTGATTTTGGTGCCAAGTGTTTGCATACATTATAACTATTTTTTTCTTCATATTTCTGGCAAGTCCATAAACGGTCTCAATTGCGTGAATTAAACGTGAAAATTATAATTTTTTTTAAATAATAAAGCTCTGACTACAACTTGTAATCTTTTTAAAAATTTTCATAGTGTTCATAATATTTTAAACAATTTAAATGATGCAGTAATTATGTAATACCCTTGATTGAATTAATACGCTCGCAGTAATGCGAGCGTATTAATTCAATCAAGGGTATTAAATTGCTGTCTTTATGAACTTTATTTAAGGCGACAAGGGACTTTCAAATTTTTTTTTTTGAAATTATCAAGGGATTTGCTTGAAATTTTCAGAATACATTTATATTGTTAAAAACAACTTTTATACAAAATTTCAAAGAAATATTTCAAAATTTAAGAAATTAAAAAATTAAAATTTTTGAATTTTTTATGTTTTTTTATATTACTCCTCGCGTCTGAAATTTTGTCAAAATGACAAAATTCTTTTAAAATATTACATATTAGGTAATATTGAAAAAAATGTTGGGAGTACTTTTTCTATTTTTTATTATAGAAACGAATAACATTAAAAAAACAGTAAAAAACCTACATTTTTAGGAAAAAATCATCATTCCTCTATAAAATATCATGTATAAAAAAAATTCTATTCTCTTAATTCAAAAAACTTTTCCAACAAAATGTTAATAATATTCATAAATATATAGCATTAAATTCTCAGGTCAATAGAATGAAAATTCATTACGCTGGAACAGTTTGAAATTTGTAAATTTGTCAAAAAAGACATTTTGAGAAAAATGACTTTTACTACTTTTTCATTGCAAATTTTACTTCTGAACAAATATTTCTTGTTTTTGATATAAATACCTATAAATCTTGTCTAATGAGCTAGTTTAATAATTATAAACTTTAAATTTTTTTAAAAAAATTAACAAAATATTCAACTAATTTAAATCTAATTTTAAACTAAACTAATTTTAACTAATTTTAAGCAGGCAAAAAAAGGTAAACAAAGGGGTGTGGTCAAAACTGAAATGGCCATAACTTCATCAATTTTGCTCTTATTCCAGAATTTTTTTTTTTAAATGTTCAGTTAAATGCCTAGATTTCAAAAATATAAAATGCAAAATATCGATTTTTTGACAAGTTTTTGCTTCTTTGAAAGTCCCTTGTCGCCTTAAGAAAAACATTTTGGTGGCAACTTTTATACAAAAATCAATTTTTATACAAAGATATAGAACCAGTCGTAACTGTTGCAGGAATGTTGTTCAGTAATTAGTACAAGAAAATAAGGACAGAAAAAGTGAAGCCTGAATTAAACAAGACAGCACAAAAGGCCAACCAGATTGTTCTACTCATTGTGACTAAAAATAAAAAATAACATAAAAAACATGGATAACATTGTCTAAAACAATGAGACTTTTCTAGAGTGACCTGGAAATTCGCCATATTATTATCCCATAGAATGTCTATGGACTATATGAAAGTAAAGACTCCCAAAAACGGATTGTTGAACCAACAAATAATCATTGCTCATTGATTCAAATATGGTATAGAGAGGAATAAAATCTAGGAAACTGAAAAAAAAAACTGTTAGAATTAATGCTAAAATTTGGCACTAAAATCGAAAGGCTAAAACATAAAATATGTTTAAAATTTTTTACTGCCGTTTTTCAAAATATGTGTTTGATTCAACTAATTCGCTTGCTACTGTAGTTATTTATTCCTCTCAATATATTTTTAATTTTTCTTATATTTCGGTTTTTTAAACATACTTTCTATTGAAAAAAAGGTAAAAATCTGGAGACATTTTAGCTTAAAGCAAATCATGCTGCACAATAATTCTTGTCATGTTATAGCTTGGGCTTGACATGCGGACGAAACATAATGATGGGATAGTTTGATGAAAGGATAACTAAAGTACGTGATCCCACTTCTCAAAAGATGTCGTAATCCGGGTCACTGTTGAGCGATTTTTGTATGCGATAAGCACCCCAGGAACTCTAAGAAATAATTTGGCAAAGAGATTGTTGAAAGAAGAAAAAAAATCAGTAAGACTTTTTATAAAGATGTAATTTATAAATGTGTTCGAGATATTTCCATCCAATTTTGAAATATTGGAATAGAAATCCATAGTCCGAGTAGCAAGATTATCACAATAAGATGTTATTTTAACACTTTTATATAGATGTTGCATACATAAGGTATTCAATAATGAACTTTTTTCTACAGAGTGGTTCAAAATAACGTAGCCAAAACGAAAGAACAAAGAGGAAGAATAAAAAATACACACAGGGTTGCAAACGTTTTTGAAGCCGCTAGAAAATCATTCGCAAAAAAAAATAAACAAAAAATCCTTCTGCATATTTTTATTTATATAGTATTTCAATCACTTAAGACCTATACTGCTACAGAAGACATACGAATAGGAAGAAAAAAACTAGATGTATTTTAAGCGAGAGAATTATGTAAAATTTCACCCAATAGATTAGTCATTGGGCTGCATGATGCATATAGACTGTTAATTTCCGATGATCTTTTTGCAGATAATTTAGTTTATGAATAGCCTTGACTTGATTTTGAATTTTAAGAAGGATGATTCAAACTAGCATCTTGTATACAAAAAGTGTTGAGTCTGTATGTCAACAGATGCCGGTACCTCCCTGTTGAGAAACTTTTTAATGAATAAGTTTCACTTTTGTTTTTGAAAACGTTTTGTTTTTGTTTACATCTTTTATGTATACGTATTACTTTGTTGCAGTACGTTGTATTCATGAATATGAGAATGGATGATATAGTAAGAAATAATCTGAGGATCTGTGATATGATATATAATCTGGGAATAGCAAAACACAACATTAAACTTTAATAAGAAAAAAGGAAAAGCTGAGAGTACACAACAAGAAAAGAAGAACATATTGCAGTTACGGTTAAGTTATAAGAACGCATAGCAGTTGCGGTTAAGTTATAGTAATTCTCCCCCACTAAAATTGTAGGTGAAATAAAAGTTTAATATAAGTGATAATTTCTGAGGTATCCAGTTAGTCGTCTTTTGCGCTAAGAATGAAGTGATTAAATTGTGGGCAAAGTTCGGGGCACTTGAATTTGCACCTCCTTCGGTGATGTAGCAACATTGAAAATAAACTTTCCTTGTTTCGTGGTCTGTTGCGCTAAGAATGAAGTGATAAAATTGTGGGCAAAGTTCCATCGTGGAGCACCTGAATTTGCACCTCCTTCGGTTGTGTAGGAACATTTGAAATAAACTTTCCTTGTTTTGTCGCCTGTTGAGCTAAGAATGAAGTGGTAAAATTGTGGGCAAAGTTCCATCTTGGGGCACTTGAATTTGCACCTTTTTCGGTAGTGTAGGAACATTGAAAATAAACTTTCCTTGTTACGGAGTTTCTGGATTCAAATCTGAAGAATTAGTTGGAATGCGTGGTAAAAGTACTCTGGCAGAATTCATATTGTAAATGTAAAGCTTAAGAGTGTTCGGAATCCAATTTAGCATTGCAATGGCGTGATTCCAGTCTGCGAGTTACAATTCCGATTTTCAACTATTCGCCATTGTTTTGATACCTACGGACTTGAACCCTTTCCCCCACTTAGAGGGAACGTACAGGCTTAGTAAAAATTTTTGACTTATGAAGATGATTTGGAAAAATAGTATCTAATTGTATCTGCAACTTTTTTGGTTAGTTATAGTTCAGCAGGAGATTTTCCCCAAGCCCACAAGTGGTGTAGCACTATAGCCAAAAAGAATTCTTTGAACTTTCTCCTCTAAAATGTCTGATTCCCTGAATATTGATTTTAGTCGATGTTTGTTCAGCTAAAAGTCATTTGTGGCAGGATGTCCAGGTGCGATGAAACGTTGGGTAATACCGTAATTAGAGCAATATAGTTTGAGTCCACCACTTGTAAAGATAGTGGCATTGTCAGAAACCATTATTTTAGGAAATTCATGAAAAGAAAAAAATGTCATTTAAAAGTTTAATAGTTATACTAGAAGTAGATGCATCTTTCAGAATGCGAATTTCTGCCCATTTAGATTTAGCATCAAATGCGCAATAAAAAATGATTTCCTACAAAGGGGTCAGCGTAATCCGTATGAATTAAT